GTGCTGCTCGCGGGGCTCGACCGCCCTCCCTGGAGAGGAGGAGGGCTGTTGGACCTGAGGCTCTCCCCTGTTACTGGTAGGAAGGCAGGCGTTGGGGTACAGGTTTGTCGGTTTTCCATTGCACTCTTATCTCCTCTACATCTGGAGAAACCAATGCAGACAACAGCCATACAAAAACAACAACTCATGATCCGTAAGGCCCTCCCCGCGTGCATGCCGCACACCGGCCAAAAAGCTGGCACATAAAAAGGGTGGAAAAGAGCATCCTCTGAAAGGCTGTTGCAGTGTCCCCACAGAGCTGTCACTGCTGTAGCACCTTCCGACGTCCCGGTACCAGAGGGTCCTTCCAGCTTTTTGACTACTGTTCCCTATTTGTAGGGCTGTGACTGTTGCACGGAGAGAGAGGATCATCAGAGATGCTGCTGAGAGTCTATTTTTAGAGTGAGTCATTTGATGAGCTGTTCAGCACCTTATTTATTGCTGTCTCCAGCTGGGGAGCTAAGCAGTGTCCAGACACCTCCACCGCTAAAACCAGAACTCAGAAGCAGTGACCTCTATTTGATAACATTTTCTGTACTGCCAGAGAAAAACAACAGCACATTATGCTGTCAGGGCTAATAGCTGCTAATTAGGGTGAGTGACATACGACCCCTTTTATGTCCAAAGAACAGAGAAGTCACAGTACAAATAAAAAAAGTGATGAAATTCTGCATTCACAGTCTTCTCCAGACCGAAGAGTGACCACACAAAAGTAATTTCCTATTTTATTTTTTTCCTGATTTCCTGTTTAAAGCTTTACTGGAACTTAACATTATGTGTAGAGCAAGTAAGAGTCTCGGTGTTCCCTTGGTAGGAAACGGGGCTTTGAGGGGGCACCAGGAGAAGAAAAGGGGACAAACTGAAGCGACGTCATTTGACAAATGAGATAGAGGTGCAGAGGCTCCAGAACGACCCTCGGTGCACCGCAGGGACTGCGCAGCAGGGCAGCGCCTCCAAAGCTCACGCGCCTTCGCCTGCCCCGGCAGCAGCTGTATCCCGCCTCGCACAGCCAGCACGCACAGCGATGCATCCAGCAGCCCAAAACTAGCTGAATCTGATGCCATTTAACTGGATTCCTGGCAAAATAAATAGCAAAGATGTTTATCTCCAGGCATGTTCCACGTCTAACCTAGCCCACGCAAAGCACTTCTCTCCGGACGAGCCTGGAGCCCCGCACAGGCTGGGTGCGCTCCGGATCGCTGTACAGTGCCTTGCATTGTTCCCGTGTGCGGTGCAACAGCACTTAGGGGTCACTGCGGGGGGTTGGGTATATTCAGAACGCAGGGCAGGTCCTCCTCTGGAGGATCCAGCCCCTGCTCAACCAGACAGGCAAAGAACGAGTAACCCATTGCCATTTCGTAAATGTGGAACTGAGGCACAGAAAGCTGAAATGATTTACTCGAGGTCACATTAAAAGTCTACTGAATTTGCAGCCTCCTGTTGTTTTATTACAGGCTCAAACATCCCGTTAGACCCTCTGAATGTTAATCATTACCTAACTCTTCTATCTTCTTGCTGCTCTAATGAGATTATTGATGAATTACTTAAAACGCACTTTCTGTAGAAGAAATTTTTTAGGTGACAAGTTGCCTTTTACTAAACAAATTAATGGGAAAGTTGAGTTCTCTCATTGCAGTCTGGGGAAAAGAAGTTTTGGGTCTAAAATGCCCAATTAGCACTAACTGAAATCCAATATTTGAGATTATTTGGCACTGTATCTGTTATAAATATGCCATGTGGCCATTAGTACCTCGTGGTACCATCAGGACAAAAATAGTCACTCCAGCAATTAATATTGCAGTAGCTGCATGTGTCAATATAGGAGGAGAACAATTGCAACTTTATAGGTTCATTCCAAACCCCATCACGGTCAAAACCAAAGGAAGGCTTCTCACTGAGTGCAAGGGGATCTCGATGAAGCTCTGCTGAAGCATAGCTGGTTTTACTCTCATCAAAAAGCTAGGACATTTCCAACCATCGCTATCACCCACACTGCAGGTCAGCCCAGCAAAGCCAGAGAACGCAGCCGCAGGAGGTGCCCTGCAAACCCAGAGGGACAAATCCAACCGCGTTCTCACCACAGACAACTCCGCAGTAGATCCACAAGTCAGTGTGACACGTACACATTTTAGGTGTTCTCCCCGTGCTCCAGCCACAGCAAAGCTTCTCATCGCAGTCTCTTTCATCGTAGTTTTGCAAATGAAGTTCCACATCTCCCCAGCAAAATCCTCCGCGCTCTGAGACAGTTTGATCTCTCCTGATGGCATTTCAGAGCACCTCCTCTGAAGCCTCAAGTAATGAGGTAACTCTCAGTCTGCGTGTAAGGACAAAACTCTACAAGACAGACTGTGAGCCAGATGCTTATTATTATACTTTCTACAACTGCACAGAAGGGCTTTCTCTCAGTGCTCCAGGTCACTGAGATCATGTTTGAGGCATATGATTAATTTTCAGCCTTATTGTGTTAAGGGGCAGCAGGAGAAAAGTAAGAAAGATTTTTTTTTTTAGAACAGTTTGAACAGTTTTAAATGAGGCAGAAGACCTTGTCACTTAGCAAGAGCTTTTAAACTATCTTTGCATAAAGCAGCAGCTAAAAAGTTAATAGATATAAATAGCATTTTATTGATTTGAGGTATTCTGAGGGGTTTTAATGCAGGTGAAGGCAGAAGGACTCTGCTTGGGCTAATTGAGCCTTAGCTAGTGAAGCCTGAAGCATTCATGCCAAAAAAGAAAACCAACACAAAAACCAGAAAATGCCAAAGAACACCTGTCACTTAGCCCTGAAACTGAGCCTTTCCTGGGACACAAGTGAGTGTTACACGCTGGCGATGATAACCTTTTCTTTCCCCAGCTGTTTGGCCGTGCTGGGTAGCCACCGAGCCGGGAAGGAGAGCCCCCGAGAGAGCCCCTGGAGCAAACAGTTTAATGCGTAGTGAGTTCTGCTTTTATTCAGAGACCCCCACACCAACGAGTTCTTGGATGGGGGAAAAGAAGTTCAGCTGATAAAAAAAGGTGTTTTGAAATATTTGGGTTTCCCCTTTTACGTAAGTTATTCTTAGCTCACCTCTATTCCCACAAAAGCCCTTTGTTGGTCATATGCTGACATCAAAGGTAAAAATAAATCCTCAACTACAAATCATTTTGCTTTTCAATATTTGCTGCATCAAACAGCAGAACATCTCAAAGAAGAGCACGGAAATCCCCAACACCATCTGACAGCAACTAGGGGCCTCTACGGGTTTCAAGCACCCCGAAACAAGGAACATCTTCCTCAGGCCCAGCTGTTAATTAGAGCATCCTTTCCCCGGCTGCTGCAAATCCCAGCAGGCGGCAGTGCCCAGGACCTCCCCTCCACTCCGGGCAGGGCACATAAACCCCCCTGCGGTGGGACTTCAGGGTACCACGTGTCCTCCCGAGTCCCAGAGGTGCTTGGGGAATTCCTGTAGCCCGGTGGTTTGTACACAGTCATGTCAGTGTTGGAGGTTTTAGGAGTTTTTTTAAATTATTATCTGGCTGCTTGCTTTTCCCTTTCCTCCAGATGAAAATTACTTCTGCGAATATTGATATTAATATACATTTGCACGCAAGCATGTAATAAATGGCTCACTGAAACAAGGCCTGTAAATTCAGTCAGGGGCTGTGCTAATCACGTTCCCATCACACTCCGAGGGCATTAGCTACAAATGAGCTTTTTGTTACACGATCAGAGCACGCGGCAGTCCACATCCAGCTATCTGGCTGGGGTTTTATTCGCCTATCGACCATTTGCAGAAGGAAGCGTTGAAGTCACTTCTAGAGGGCAAACTGGGGAGGACGAGCCTCCTGTGGAGGTCACCGCCACATCTGCTGAGCGCAGGCACAGCGTTTGCTTTGCCAACATCTGGCGCCCGCTGGATATCCGCAGTTGTGCTGTGAGATGGGGAATCGGGAGTGATGGCACAGTCAGTTAGAATTAAGAGGTCCAATCACCTGGGATGCAACATGGGGACTGTGTCAGGCCAAACTGTAAATCAGAATTCAAAATCTCCATTCCCTTCGCTATAGTGCAGTGCTGAGCGAGGCAGCACGGGCAGTCGGGCGCGTTCCATGAGGGAGTAACAGCCGTGCTCCTTCTTACGGCACTGGTCAGTAGCCATAAGGCAAAGCACATTGGTTTTCTTTACAGAAGGACAATATTAAAGCTTAAGTATAAAACTGCTGCAGAAAAACTTTTCCAATATGCAAAGTAAAAACACAGACAGCAAATAAGCACTCAACAGTAATGATTTCTGTCATGTGGAAGCCACAGAACCTAAACCAGTATCATCTTCCATCTGCACAAAATGGATTATTCCATCTCAGATTCTGTGGGTACTATTTAACATACAAATTACAATCACTAATGAAGATTGCTGGGTCAAACCCAGCGCGGGAGTTTGTCTGAATATTTTTCAGTTGGTCCCATATTCCTGAGAATTCACCTTTTACTGAATCCAGACTCTGAACGAACCCCCCATGTCTGACTGTACAGACGGCAAGGCGACTGCTGGGTTTTGAAATGGAAGTGTAGATCAGTCCTCATTTGCACATGGGTACACGGGAATGAACGTACACGAACCTGCTCACATGCAGACGTACAGTTTTAAGATTGTTAGAGCTCATTTCTGCTGAGAGGAGAGGTGGGTACTACCCGAGCGAGGACGCGAATTTAATGTACCCAGCAGCTGCCTGAACTGGCACATCTATTCTGCAACAAAAGCGCCTTTCTTTGGTTTAGCTTCATTCGTTGCCAAAGCGCGGTGTAAAATGGCATCTCCGGGATGACAGCACCACGTGAATTGCTGTTTGCCCGGTGGTTTCTAAGTGTTAGTGTCTGACCTGGACACGCACGTTGCTGCACACTCAGGGAACCTGAAAAGGCTGTCGGTGCCGTTGCACTTGTCTGAAGCGGGGGCTTCCCTTTTTTTTCTTTCCCCCTCCAGTTACGGTGACATGGTGCCCAAGACAATTGCTGGGAAGATATTCGGCTCCATTTGCTCCCTGAGCGGGGTGCTGGTCATTGCTCTGCCGGTTCCAGTCATTGTTTCCAACTTCAGCCGAATTTACCACCAGAACCAGCGGGCCGACAAGCGGAGAGCGCAGAAGGTAAGCCGTCCCAAAGCTCGGCAGCTGCCAGGCAGGCTCAGCCCCTGCTCCTCACCGCCGGGGTCGGGAGACACCAGTGGCAGTTGTGTGCTTGCAGAGGGCAGCCCGCACGCACCGGTCCGTCTCCCGACACGCGCGTAGGCTTCGCGTCACACACGGCGAGCGCTGCCTCTACCCGTAGGGATGCAAACCAGTTCATCGCACACACTGTGCACTGGCATATCTTCGAGACCAGAAGCAACAGGGCTTTTACGGGTCACCTTTGCTACGTACCAGTAGCACATAAATACATACATAGACTCATAACCCCTTAAATCATTAGTAGGAGCTGTTTATCTTTCTGGCTGCTTGGTTCCTATGTCTCTAGAGTCCTGAAAACACCCATCCAGAAACACACTTATCAGTACATGTACCCCCTCAGAGCTGCAGACTGGAATGTAGACAAAACACTGGGAATACCCAAAAGTCCCCAGAAACATCAGGGAATTACTGAATATTCTGAAATCTGAACAGTTTTTACCAGCGTAAGCCTACCAATTCACTGAGAAACTAGAACAGATTTATTATATCTCCCTTTCAGTCTGCTAAATTACACCAAAACCAGAATCAGGTTTTTACAACAATGGTAACTAAAGGTATGGGGTTTTTCTCCCCATGGAGCGCTGTCTGCCAGAAACTCAAGACTCAGGGGACCTGATGGAAAATAGTAGTAGCAAGATGTGCTATTTCTGCTTCAGGCAAGCATCTGGGCCGTGCCTACTTCTTGCATCTCAGGGAGCTGACAGCAGCGAGCTCAGATACAAGACCTACAAAACCACAAAATTTGGCAGTCAAAACACATAAAGAGAGTAGCAGAGAGACGGAATCACGCAGAACGAGCTGCAGTCCCCGTAAGCCATTGCTGCGTTTTACGCATACCTGCACTGGGTTTGGCATTGTGCACGTGAAACAGCAAACTGCGATAATTCTGGGAGGTGTTTTTGAGGGAGAGTTGTTTATCTGATGAGTCATACAACATAATATAGATAGAGACATCTCAAGATATCATAATGGAAATCCACTCAGTTCCACACACCGTTCAGTCAGCAGCTGGACAGTGGGAAACCAGTATGGATCATTACATTCACTTAATGAATTTAAATGCCTTGCAGAGTGAGTTGCCCGACGCGAGGCTGCACCCGGGCACAAGGTCTCTGGATTTAACTCGCAGGAGGAGGGCGCTGGGTGCCAGTGCGCGGGAAGGGCTGCAGCACTCATATCGCCATTTGTTAAGGGGACAGCGTGCAAGAGCCCGTTTAAATAATTGCAGACTTAGAGAAAGCACTTGTTCTACTGAAATGGCACATGAACACAGTGAGACAGAACCTGCTTTACAGCATAGCCGAGGCAGCAACTAAATAGGCGAGATGAACAGACAAACGAGGTTTGTGCATAACCACGGACCACAACACAAAGAAGCTCCAGAACCGCCCCCGGGTCTGTGCTCTCGGGTGAGGCTGTCCTTCTCTCCAGGCAGCGTACTGAAGTTTCTTGTTCTGGTTCACCTTTTCCTTTATTTGGTGGACTGTGATCCACTTGGTGACAAGGAGATGTACCACCACCTTTGATGCCGATGTGATTGATTGCAGCTTTTATAAGGTTTGCTGTATTGACACACAGAGTGTATAATTTCCCCCCATTTGAATTTCTAATTCCCTTGATATTGGATGAATTTCTGGGCTAAGAAAGTTTTCTCAAGTCAGAAGTGTGAGTAATTTTCACATGATCATCACTGCATGAATACTAAAGAGAACGAAAGAGACAGAAGTACATTAATGACAGTCTCTCTGGAGACGGTCAGGTCGTACACAGGGACGTTAGGAATCTGCTTGGGTGGAATACTTGTCCAGCATCATCCTTCAGTGAATTGAATCCCTTCTTCAGAAATAGGGAAGTTAATAGTTAAAACTCTGTCCTCATCTAACTAAAGGTACAAGGACTCTTGCATGGCTTTTTCAAGAAGGTTGGAAAAAGCTCTTTGGACTCTCTCAGTCCTTGAAGAGCCCACCAGTAGAAGCTCCTTATAAGCAGAGCTTAGAAGACACAGCTCTGAAGAAAAAACACAGACATCTTTCCTAAGGTTCTAGTGTGCCTAATAAATTATTTTTCTCTTTTAATTGAGGAGTAAATAATTTGTAGGGTATGTATTAGTATAAATGCTTTAGAAGAAGTTCTATTTAGTTCAAGCATCGTAACTTTTAAAATGTACAAATAGGTTTTCAAGATTTGGCTACAGACCATGTTTGTTTATTTTTTTATGAACTCAGACTGAAGTCTTCCAATGAGAAATAATAAAGGCAAAAGTCAAATTGGCTGCATTCACAGATTTGGAGGTCAGGGTTTGAGTAAACCTGGGCTCTCTGAGGGGCTGCACTCCAGAAAACAGGAAAAGGCAGCAGAGCCCCAGTGTCCCTCTGGGCTACGATGTGCTCAGTCTTTGTCTCTTAACCGCTGAGGAGGCACTGGTCTCTCAGGAGGAGGTATTTAGATAGCACGAACAGAATACTGGGAGGGGGCTGCTACTGATCAGCATCTGTTCTTCAACTAACTGAGGAGGGATGTTCCTTAAAAAGGAAAAAAAAAAAAAACCACAATGCAACAACCCCAAAACACAAAACCAAACTAACAGTGATTTAATCGCCTTGAAGATAAATTATTCTTTGCCAAACCTGCACTGGAAGAGAATTAATTACAAGGAGATCTGGCAATCTTAATTTATTGTGCTGTGTCATCAGATTTTGTCCTCTGGCATGCAGCAAGGACCAGGTCAGTATGAATCGAAGATGAATTGATCATTTCTGACAAGGTTCATTTTGGCAAAATTGTTGGGGTTTTTTTCCCCAAAGACTTTTTTTTTTTTTTCCCTTTTTGACTGATGTGCTAAGAATAGACCTTCCTGACTTTGAAATGATGCTGTTCTTCAGTGAATGTCACAGCCTTTGGTTTTAAAAGAGAATTTGACACTTAAAAGGCTTGACAATAGAATGACTTTGTAATTCAGATAAAGTCTCGCTGTGTTCGGTTTGCAGCATAGATGCAGTGTGAAGGAGGAGACGACAAGTATCTGGTGCTGGTTTGAGGACTACACCTCCCACTTTTCCACCCTAGAAAGAGAAAGCAGAGGCAGCTACTAACAGCGACTGAAACGCTGCTCCTTTAGCAGCAGTAGGAAAAGCAAAACAGTTCACTGTTTAGAAGTTAGAGACGGAGTGAATACAGCCCCAGGGTTATCCCCACCAGAGCAGGGCCTCGAGACAGGCAGGGCTGAAAGAGCGCCAGATAACAGGGCAGTGAGGAGATGTGGCCTTTGAGCTTCGTGCAGCAAAGGTCCCAGAAGTGCAGATTGCTCTCCCGAGGTTTACAGGAATGCTGTAGGCCTCTGGACTCAGAGACTAGTCAGAAATCCTGCAAGAATGATCCTTCTTGAGTAAACTCTAGCTGCTGACAGACAAGTTTAGTTCCCATGTCTTTAAGCAGAGAACCAATACTAAACCAAAGGCCCCATCTTTGCACAAACAGTAACAGAAAAAGGAAGAGAGAAGAAGAAAACATTTATGAAACTGGTGAAAATACTTCTAGAAAGGTGTTTTTCAAAGAGTTACGGGAGCCTTTGTTGGTCCTTAATCTCCCACAGCCAATGACACTTGTCTTTGTCCATATTATAGTAACCAACTCCATTCCCTCAGCTGGAAGGATGGTGCCAACTGCTGCAAAGTTAGTTTGATATGTTGTTATTTTTGTTCCTGGAATGATGCTTCAGAAAAGACAACTAGAGATCCTTCGATATCTCCCCAAACTATTCCAATACAGTCCAACTAATTACAATGGTACAACTCATCAGCTCCAATGTCCCGTTCCCTCAGGAAACAGGAGCTGGCAATAAACTGCACAGGAGCCCTCAGAAATGTGAGTTTGCTCAGGTGGGCCAATGACTGACACATAGCAGCCTGCACTAACGGCTTTTCAGTAAGAAAAAGTGGTAAGACAGAAAAACATACCGTAACAAGGGCAACAGGGCATTACAGGTTAAGCCTGTGTGGCTGTTGGCCCGAACTCCCCGTGCACCTGAACACACGTGCAGATGAAGATGCTGAAGTCCTCAAAGGCATATTTAAAGCAGTTTTGAAGAGCCTCAGAAGGCACATGGAAGTGGAGTGGCAGCCAAAGTGTTTGGAAATAGCGACGACAGCCTAGAGCAAACTGGTCTCTAGACCAGTCTCCTTTGGGCTATAATTTAGCCAACCGAATTGTTCTAGATCTTCTCTGGGAGAAAAGAAATGTTCAGAAAGGGGCCTCTTACACAATGAAGGATGCCTCCTCACGTTTGCACAAGAGAGGGAGAATTGTAAATGTTCAGATGCTGTGGAAAAAAAAAAAAAAACCAAAACAGCCCTGTTTAAAGTGCATTTATCGTCTCATGGTTAGATTTGCTAAATGAGCCAGGATACTGAAATGGCTGATAATCTCAGAGGGATTAGCATGGTTTTAGTGGTGCATTTCACGGGGACTAAACTGAAACTGTCGTTCACAAATATAAAACTTCAGCAATCACAGTGCTTGGTTTCAAGTCAACAGTAAATATGCTTTTGAGGACTACAGCTTCTTAGTCTGTCCAATTCATTTCATTTATTATCTGGTGGCCTTTGACTCTATGAGAAGCAGCAGTGTACTGCAAAAGCCTTGAAATAGCCTTCTCATTTCATCCTCTGGGCTGTAAGTTTCCAGGAAAGAACCAAACACCCAGATTTAGGCAAGGAAAGGACTACCCGGGACAAAAATCATTTTGCAGAGCCACTCTCACATAAAACTATAATATAGAACTGAAAACTGCAACGCAGGCTATCAAAGAGTAGATGGTATAAATTAAGTGAAGCAGAGAAGCGGACGCATTGCCTGGTGGACGAATTAAAGCCTTCAATCACAGAGCCACTATCAGCAGAGGAAAGGAAGGAAGGGGCAAG